GAGATCAAAGGAAGGCATATTTTCCTGAACCTTCCATCTGCACTGGCTTTGCAGGTCACATTTCTGGAGTGCTTCAGGAAACCTGGGCTTGAATATTTAAAAAAAAAAAAATTTTCAGTGCAAGGCGGAGACACTATTTGTAGGCATTTATCTGCCCCCCCCCCTCACACACACCTGCATCAAATTTCCTACCTGCATTGCTGTTAAGGGTCATGTTTGCAGGAACTTGTGGAGACAGTACATGGTGTCACCTGAAGGATGAACTGAACTGAACTTAACTGGTGACTTCCAGGCATCCCTACGTAGGGGAGGGGGTCATCTTAATGTTCTACTGTTTACTCAATCTTTACTGGAGGCACTTATCAGTATGTGAGACATAACCTTACACTTCACATTGGAGTTTATCACATAACTCTGCAGGTTTGGGGATCCTGATGTGATATCTTATCTTATCTTATCTTAGTTCCTCCTGTGCCGAATGGCACATCGGGCAGCAAGCTTCCACTTCCACTGATGTGATAGACACTCTTAAACTGTTTACTGACAATATAATAGCATGAAAGATCATCTGTATTCATTTGGTATATTTAACAGTACTATGTATGAAGTTTAATACTTTAGTCACACCACTTACACCAGTAAACAGCAAATATATAGCTCACCGGAATCCAAGATGGCGGTCGTCGTGCAGTAGGTGGATTTTCTGCGCTCAGACCCTTTGCTTACGATCCGTTTATTTGACGCTTACCGACGTTTAAAGACCCTGTCAATGTCCCTAGACGGATGGTTAATGGTTAAGACACGGTCTAAAAAACGTCAACGTCGCTCAGGGTCCGGTAGTGACGATTTGAACAGTTCTACACGTTTGACCGGAGAAGACGCTATGGCGGACAAGCTTCTAGACGAGTTAAAAGCCACAATCGAAGCCGCGCTTCAACCCGTTCACGAAAAGCTGAATGACATGGCTACAGCGAGAGACGTACAGTCTCTACGGGAAGATGTGGAACGAGTGCTACAGCGACAGGGAGTACTGGAGTCCAGGATAGAACAAGTTGAAGAGAAAATTCAAAACATGGAGGATACCCCCCTCCCACCTAAGGTTGTGAGTAACTCCGTCTCCATTAACGCTCTGGAACAGTATACCAGGAGGAACAGTTTACGCATTCGTGGCATCCCTGAGGTTAACAAAGAAACTGGGGAGATGTGTGTGCATAAAGTTGTTAATTTCTGCAGAGTTAAACTCGGCCTGGATTTACAGCCGCAGTGCATCGATCGCGCACACCGAGTCGGCACTAGGAAGGAGAACGCTACGCGGCTGATGCTGGTCAAGTTTGTATCCTGGCAAGACCGTAACCGCGTGTTTCGTGCACGGAGCAAGCTGAAAGGCAAGCGCGATGAGCAAGACAAGCCTCTCCTGGTCCTGGCGGATTTAACCAGACAGAACATGAGTATCTTCTCAGCGGCGCTTTCTGCCAAGAACAAAGGTCGGATCAGAGACACATGGGTGGATGCTAACTGCAGGATCATGATAACTCTGATGGACAAGACAACCAAGAACATTGACTGTGTTGAGGACCTGCCTTAGTTTTCACAGATTAGTTAGATGACTGTGTGTGTAGAAGAAACTGTTTTGATCATTCTAGAACATGCAATTTCTGTATCGACATGTTTGTGTTTTCCATATGAAGAATTCTCACCTGTTCAAAGCGCGCCCATTATTATTATGCTAATGTATGATCTTCTTCCTTGTAGACTTTTTGTTTTGGCCGATTGTTTTACATGTGACTTCTCTGAAAGTCTGTATTGAAGACCTGCCTTAG